TTTCAAGAATCATAAATAAACCATACAAAACTTGAAATTTTGATAATAGCCATTGAAAATGGATTAGCATAACCATTACACCATCTAAAAGACCAAAACAGTTTAGGGTAATGTTTCTAGTCCATTTCCAGCAGCAAAACACGAAAAACTGCTCACTCGATGACAAACTCGTCGAGTTCTATAAGGAACTCGTCGAGTTCATGTAATAACTCATGAACTCGGCGAGTTTTTGGCCAGAACTCGTCGAGTTTTCCAGTCTGGGCAGATTTAGGTTTTGAAAAACAAGTTTGCATCAAGTATCAAGAAAACAAGCCTAGGCTCTGATACCACTGAAGGGTTTTGAGCATTCTAACACTTCTAAGGTGTACATGCAACCCTAGAAATCTTGGATCTATGTTTTACTAAGATACATGCAAATTTGATTTCCAAGGTTCTTAACCTATCTAGCATGGTATGGGGAACTTGAATCATAAAAGCTAGTAAGAAAACATACCTTTCTAGTTGCTTGGATTCCTTGAGAACCTTGTGAGCCTAGCACCTCAAGTGTGATGCCTCAAATGTCTCACACAACACCACAACACTTGGAATAACCTTGAGAGAAGATACTTATCACTCAAAATCGGCTAGCCCTCTTGTTCTACACTTTGTACTCCGATTTTGCTAGTCATGGAGTCCTTATATAGTTGTGTCACAAGTAGGGTTACTCCATGTAAACCCTAATGTGCATGGCTTTTCATATTCCATGATCCATGGGTTTATAACCTCCATGGACTATCCATGGAGCACCTTATGGGTTTAGCCCAATTCATATAAACCATGGATTATTAGCCCACTATACAAGAATGGATGATTTACACAATCAACCCCATATATTTAATTAGTCTCCTTTTGAACATTTAATTAATTCCAAATTAATTCTTTGATCAATACTAATTAAATAATATTATTAATATATTAGAAATTATAATATATTAATAAACCTTAAGTGTCCTTTCTCTCATTTAGTCTATCCAATTGTTGCAATGTCATGCAACCCAAATGGACCATGCCAACCGGGTCAAGTACATTCCAGGAATAGTTATGAACTTAGACACCTAATCCAACAGTTCGTTGGCCTTTGTTTGGACTGAAGATTTCCCTTGTAGTGTTGGACAACTTATTTGGGCTTGTGTTGTTGGGCTTGCCCTGTTGGGCCTAGGATTGTATTTTTGGCCTTAGTGGGCCCAATGGGCTTGGACCATTGATGGGTCTGGTTAGTTGGGCCATTTATGGGCCTAGTGTTTGAATTTAGCCATAGTTATTTACTGATTTTAGCTTTGGGTTTGGCTCAGTGTTAGGAACTGATTCGCAGCAGCCGCAACATTCGTAGGATTTGGCTATCTTTGAGGTGAGTCTTCTCATCATACCCATGGATCGAAGGCACCAATGTCGGACCATTATCTGATATGTAGTAATTAGTTGATATGCAATTGTATGTTTTGTGGTATGGATCGTTTTATGTGAAGACCATGGGGGGAGCCCATGGCACCTGGATATCAGACCATGGGGGAGCCCATGGCATTCCAGGTAAAGACCATAGGGGGAGCCCATGGCACTTGGTTATTAGACCGTGGGGGGAGCCCATGGCATTCCAAGTAAAGACCATGGAGGGATTCCATGGCAATTCATGTATGCCTTTCTATTTCATGTTTTTTATGTGACTGTATGTGTTGTGTATTTTGGGAAACTCACTAGGCGTTTTGCTTACAGTTTGTTGGATGTTTCAGGTACTTCTGACTCTAAGGGCTAGGGCCCAACTTGATGGCGTAGCGTGCACTCTCCAGTATTCCGCACTAGTTGTTTTGATTACTCTGATCTTTTGAACAATATGTTATTTAATGGAAATTGTGGGAAACAACTATGGATATTATTTCTAGTTAATAAATGAAAACTTTTACCTAAGTTTTTGGGCTGTTACAAGTTGGTATCAGAGCCTTGGTTTGAGGGATTCGGGCACACTCTTGGGTGTGTCGGGATAAATTTAGATAAAATTAGGTGCCTCAAACAAAGTTTTGAGTTATGAATCCTCAACATTACTATTTATATTATGCATGAATAATGTTCTAAAAGCATGTGCTCCATATGGGATGCTCACCAGCAACAATTACCACACCATTTGCAAGAGTGTAGTGGACCACCCCTCAGTCAAACCTACCTTTGACATGCTCACATTTAAGGTATCCATGTCATATTCAAGTTCCATACCTCCACCACTTCTAAATAGATCATACTCTTGTAACTCATCCGTGCGACTCGGAAAGGTATTAAGGTTAACTTTAAATACTCCTGTATGATCTTCTGAATAGATCATAATCAATTACACCTGCTAAAAGCTCATCTTCTTCTGGTAATAAGCTTCAATTGCATGGTCTTCAAGTTCTTCTAGAAAATCATTTCCTTATAAAAATTGAAAATCATTCTCAGTGTTATTGTTGTGAAGAATGTTGCATTGTGAAACACTCTTGCATGTAAATTTAAGTCAACAATATCAATATCTGCCAAGAATAAACGAATTGACAACATTTAATTTCCTAAGCTTCATCATTGAGATAAATGTGTGAGTAACTTTCTATCCCTAGATTTAAATCATTCAAGAAGTAATAATCAGTTTCACTTCTAAATGGCAGAACCAAACATAGCCTAGGATTTAAATCTCTCCCGAGTCCTAACATGAAAACTATGAAGGCAACAGAGTTTTAACCTAAATGATTGTTGTTTAAGTTGTTTATATATAAAAAACTAAAGAACACTAATCCAATTAATTCAATAATCAACTACAAAACTACAAGGCTATATGTTTAAAGCTATATAAATCATTAGGACATAAAGAAGTTTGAAATGCTTAAAACTCAAACTAAAATAAACAAAGATTTGTCCAAACCATAACTGTGGTAGCTGATCATCGAGATATTATGCTTCCACACACAAAGTTTGAAATGCTTATAACGTTAATAGCATAAAGTAACAAATTACTATATTTAAAAGAAAGAATCGGATAATCATTGGTAAACCACCCACAACATCAGTAAGTTTTAATAAATTAACATTATCCATACCCCAAAATTTAATTAAGCAAGATAACAAATGGCAAGGAAAGCTTGAAGCTTTATACTCACAAAAATACAGGAGATGCATAAACTTTCTGGATTTAAACTTGTTTTTCTCTTCCAAAGCACCCAAAAGAAACCTTGATCTTCAAGCTTTAAGCGCAAAACATGGGAAAATAAGCTCCAAAGGTGAAGAGAGGCTCAAATCAAGTTAGAGGAGGCTATGGTTTCGTTGGGATCTCGTTAAGGAGTAATGGAGGCTGAGAATGAGCTAACCCTAGAGGTTAATGGTGCTTAAATAGCCTCCAAAACCCTAAAAAACATGTCAGGCCATGGGTCGGGCACGTCACACCCTTAATAGGCTCCCCGTACCCCCTTGCGAATAAATCTAGTTTTTAGTTTTCAGATTTTAGCAAATTAATCAAATTAAAAACCAGATTAAATTATGTACTGGGAAATGGATGCTACATGTCACCTAAAAGGGTGAGTACGCCCTTTCCACTGACTTTTAAGTGAGTTTGAATCACTTGATCGACCAAAAAAGATATATGGAATTGGGTTTGATGCAAACCCTATATTTGAAACTCAATCCTATCACATAAGATTTTGCGTGGCTTCCACATCAAAATATTGTAATGTCATTTATTTGGTAACCTGCTAGATTGATGATAACCGGTCAATTGATTTAGACGTGAGTTTGTAAGGATCTTCATTTATAGGGGTCTTAATATATTTGTTATACAAATAAATCGACCTTGTAGGGATATTCATTTATTTGTTGTATAAATCGACCTTGTGAGGGTATTCATTTATTTGTTGTATAAATCGACTTTGTAAGGGTCTTCGTGTACTTGTTGTACAAATCAGGCTTCTTAACTACAATAACATTTCCTAAAAGGGTGGCTATATCTTTTTTTGCTGACTTTTAAGTGAGTTTGAACAATTGGATCGACCTTCATTTATTTGTTGTACAAATCGAACTTCTTAACCACAATAACATTTTATGGATCGGTCAACTGGTTGATATAAAAAAAAATTGTAAATATATTAACATAATTGATTAAAAAAAAAAAAACCTCGGTGTCAAAATCAAAACTGTATGGGAATATAGTGATTTTCTTGCAATTGGAAACTCGGTGTCAAAATCGAAACATTGGTAAACTTAATGACTTTATTGCAATTGAGAAAAGTGATTACCGGAAAACAAATAGAACCAGTCATTTGGTTGATATTATAACAAAATTGTAAATATAGTGACATAATTGAAAAAATTAAAAATAATTTGGTGTAAAAATCAAAATTGGTAGTAATATAGTGACTTTTTTGCAATTTGCCAATAACAAATAGGATGAATGAGCTGGAGATCTTTTCAAATGTATTTTCAATACTAACACCTTTTAAATTGTTTCAAAAAATCAGAATATAATATGAATATAATATGAAGTTGTTTAGTAGAATCCCACACGATATCATCCAAATGCAAAAACAATGCAATATCAAGATTCAACCCTCAGGATAGTCAACTGATCATGTGACTGATCGGCTCAAAAGCAAAAGAACACAAAAGAATTTAAACAAAAACAAATCATCAATGACAAAATTTCATATTTATATCTAGAAATCGAAAATTTTACATTGAAGATGAACATATGAACGCAACAAGATCAATCTTTGCTGTTTAAACATTAAAAAAAAAAAAAAAAAAAAAGCAAATTAGAAGTCACCCATGATTCACTCTAATCACAATCAACAAATATGTGCTCCTACAAATCAAACAAGAACAAAAACGACCTTCACCAACCTCCATTAATGGTATCCATTCTTCAAACATCACCAAAAACGATGGTCCAAGCTATGCAGTATCGATTCATGAACAAATTCAAGAACAGGTTTTGAACACGATTATGTATTTGCCTAATCATATTTTTCTCTCCAACTGTACACAAGAAACAACACCCATGAAAGTGCCAAAACAAAATCACCTAGAACAAGCCTGAGCCAATCACGACCAAGCTCTTCAAGCTTCCTCTCAAAATATATTCTCCAAACTGCCATCGCAATATGAAGAAGAACACACCCTTTAGCAAAAAAGCTCTGAAAATCCCTATCTTTCACAAATGCGACCATGAACAAGAGAATTCCAACAGCAAATAAAAGCAGACCCGAGAACGAATCAGAGGTTTTGATCAACAATTGGTCATGGGGTGTTGATCCCAATAGCTTAATTGCAGTTTCATTGCCATGGCTAAATGCAAAAACCTCATGGCTATAGAACATCATTAGGGTTCCACAACTTAAAGCCACTACAGAGTAGATTAAGCATATCGAGCAAAAACCTGATGATCCCATATTAAATAACACAAAATTTGACTACTTTAGCTCGCAAATCTTCGATTAAATCAATGCTAAAGAGAACCCATTTCAGATAAGATCGATTAACCAACCCTAATTCAACAAACGCCATAAAAAACTAAAAACCCCCATTTTTATCAGAACTAGTAAACCCTAACGGAAGAACACAACGAAATTCATCGTCAACAACAGAAATTGATAAAAACCCAGAAAAAAATTAAACACAGATCGACAGATATTAGCGAAAGGGATAACACCCAATCAAATTCAACCTTCTACGACCCCGAAATGATGATGAATTACAAGAACCCTAATTAACGATCGATCTTTTCTTGCAATCAACAGAGCCCACAAAGGAAAGTTGAAATACTAACCGTGTAAACCTAAAAATCGAAATTAATCACCTGGAAATCTTGATAGATTGAGAAAGGGTTTATAGAAGAAAGAAAGAAAGAAGGATTGAAGGCAAAGTATGGAGGGTTGTTTATTATTGCCGACAGTCGACAGCGATGATGGTGGGGTGCTTCTCTTAAAAGGATATAAATTTTTAAGATATTTGATTGTCGACGATAGTGCCAAAATGTCATCATGCTGCTACACTGCAGTAAACACTTGTACCATATGTATAAACGATTGTACAATGTGATGCATCAAGGACTTGAACCACGTGCATAAAAGGTTGTATGTATTATTATTCTATAAATAATAGCTACTTGTGAACCAAACAAACCCAGATCCAACATACTCTTCGTAATTAATCTACGTTTATCCAATTTTTTATAGTAACTTACAACTTTGGTCCATGTGGTATATATCTTTTTGTATAAATGCTTTTAGTTTTTGAAATTAAACATTACTGATCTTTATAAATGGTAAATCTATCATTTTTGGTCCTCCAGCCTAACATTGTTAAACTTTTATATTAACTTTAATGTAAAATGATGTCGTTGGCAGCTTCATCTGCCAGCTTCATCGCCACCCATATTATCGATCGACATATCTGTATATACATCGTCCATATCTCAACTAGCCGACATCACTGATCTTTCTTTCTCTGTCGCATGCAACACAGGGGTGGACGCAAGAAGCCAAAAATACATACTAGGTGTTGCCGCTGCGTATAAGACAAGTAGGTGTTCCCGGTACCACACCGGGACACCAAACAAAACTGTCATTGATGCAACATCGGTCGCTACATGGAACTCTCTCTCTCTCTCTCTTTGTGTGTGTGTGTGAAAAGTGGTGGTGGAAGATGGAAACTGTCACAGGTGGACTAGCCGATAATCATCAAGGGTTTCAATTCAAGTTTAATTTAGGATCAAATTCAGATTTGTGTTTAATTTCCCATTGTTTTGCTTGTTTTAGGATAAATTCACTTTCAATTTATTTCAAATTTAAGTTGCATGTGGTTATAAATGGTGGTTGTCGTAGGGTGAGCAAAATACCCATTGGAACTTAACCAAAATGGAACTGAAATCAATTGGGAATCAAATATAATTCGGTTCGGTTCTCGGTTCATTTATATTCATAAATTTGGTTTTTAGTTTTTCAATTTTTGTTTAGTTCGGTCCGATTGCAGACCCTAACAACTAGGAATGAGCAAAATACTTGTTGGAATCGAACCTACCCTAAACCAGAATCGATTGGGAACCAAATATGTAATTCAGCTTAGTTCTTGGTTCTACCATATCCATAAATTCGGTTTTTGATTTTTCGGTTCCGGAACCGAGCTCAACCTTAAGTGGTGGCAGTGAAAATGATGATGGTGTTGGTGGTGGTATACGATGGTGGTATACAATGGTGTTAGTGGTATACGGTGATGACTATGATATACTATTATGGAAAACAAGAAAAAATAAAATCAATATAGAAGTATTTTAATAACTATGGCAGTAGTAACTATGATAGAGACAAAGGTGAGTGACTTATCAAGCATTAGAATCACTGGTATCAAATTTCCAAAACTGTGGTCAAACTTGCCGGTTGTCGTATATCATAGGGATCAAATCTGTAATTTACGCTACAATTTACGAAAAGTCATACCGTTTTAGGATCGAAATTCGAAAGTATATGACTGGGTCATAAAGCTAGAGATTGAAAATTGTACTGAATTAATAAAAAGGAAAATAAAACATTGTAAACAAAAAATTAGAGTTTCCATAAAAGGAAAATGACATGCGCTTTGACATTATCAAATTATTTTACTTTTTAATATATTCTAAAGCAGTTTGATTTTTTTATTATATTTTGGAATAATTGCTTTTTTATTTAATAAACAATAAAAGAAAAGAGGCACCATTAAAATTAAACTTATGGTAAATAAAATCTTTATTGGAAAATCAATTCCACAAAAGTCAACATTGCAATGATCATCTCTGTTCCTTTTTATAACTGCGATAAAACTCAAAAAAGAGCGTCTTATCATATTTAACTTAAATTTGACGAAATTGCAAAAATATCATCATATACTCCCTCCGTCCCAAAATTATTGTCCGCAGAAAAAAAACACATAGATTAAGAAAAACAATTATTAGTTTTGTCTTTTTTGAGTAAAATGACTTTCTTGTCCTTTTCTAAAACCAATGGGAAATGTGCGTTTGTAACTGTTCAAGTTACTTTATTAAATGTTAGGGATAATATGGTAAAAGTGTATATCTATTTTTGGTAGTGGACAATAATTTTGGAACGGAGGGAGTATAATTTAAATTTGACAAAATTGCAAAAATGGTTTTTATGGTTTGTTATTTCTTTTTGATAAGGTCCGAACTTTGGAATAGTTGTATGTTTGGCCCTTGCCCTAGTTTACCTGCCGAACATATCAAAATTAAAAAGCTTGTCTTACCCTTTTATATATTTTTTTTCCAATTTTTTCTTTTAATAATTTAGTATTATGAGTAAATTACACCATTCGTTATTTGTGTATGTGTCAAAATACACGCTTAGTTTTAATTTTCAAAAATTAACTCGGACCGTTCCTCGTTTGGTCTAACCCTACATGCTTCATCCCTCAAACACGATTTTATTGAGTCCATTCCAAAACTGAAATCACGATAATACCCTTGTGTTTTCATTTTTCAATTAATTTAAGGCGTTTATTATTATTATCAATTTAAAAAATAGAGGCCCTTCACTTTCCCCACCCTCCAGTTTGTCAGTAATCAGAAACAAACACACAAATTCGATGAGACCCAAATTAGAAACAAACGCAAAGAGGAGACCCAAATCGCCAGCTATTCACCGGACACCACCATCGTCTCCACCTCCGACAAACATTTTCTCTTCTCTTATCACCATCCCCAACCAACTTTGTCACCCCCACTCACATCCTAACCATCAACGTTGAAGTCATTTCCATCGACATCTAAAGTCGTCGTCTCGCCGGAGAAGGTGACCTCATTGAGTCGTCATCACCACATGTATGCTTAAACCATTTGTGTTGTGATCCGTCATCGCCATCATCGATCACGCTGAAACCTAATGTTGCCTGAAACCCTAACTATCGTCACCTCCATTCGAAACTTTAGATTTGAGCTGATGGTTATGTTATATCTGCGATGGTGGTGGTTGTGACTCTTCCAGATACACATCAGAAAAGACGAAGGGATACTACGACAATATAGGGTTTGGGTTTTGACACTTCAGATGGTGACGCCGATTTAGGGTTTGGGTCTACCCATCTCTTCTTCCTCTCCGACCATTCGAACATGCTACGAATGATGAGAGGTAAAAGATCCTTATCCCATTTCCGACCGGTTTTCGTCGATATGTTCTTTCTTTTCCATACATATTCATTGGAAAAATGGAGTTCTTAAAGAGAGAAAGGGGTACAAGGGAGATAATGGTGAAGTTCTTAGAGAAAAAAAATGGTGTTCTTCCTTTTCCGTCTAAAGTTGATGGAGATGTTTCGGGGTCACCGGAGTATTGGTGCTAGTGGTTGACGGTAGTGGTGGTAGTGTTGGTCAATGGCAATGGTGAAAATGGTGAAGGGACCATATATTAAATTAAACAATTTTTTAATAGATTAATAATTAATAATTAATAATTAACAAATAAATCAAAAAGGAAATAAATAAAGGTAAAATTGTATTTTTATGTCCGGAGAGATGAAGCGTGTAAATTTTAAACTAACGAGGGACGATCCGAATTAATTTTTTTAAAATATGGGCTAAACGTGCATTTTGGCACCTGCACGAAGGACAAATGATGTAATTGACCTAATGTAACACCTCAAATTTCAAGACAAATTTTTTATTTTTAATTCACCAATCATTACTCATAAATTCAAGTTATCACATAAATTATAAGTTATTATCAAAACAATATCTGAGTATCCCAAAATCCACAATATCTCATAAGCCCGGCGAAAGTGTACAATCATGTCTCCGTCTTCCCGAAATCTACAGAAGTACCTGAAACACATTTAAATCAACATGGTAAGCACGAAGCTTAGTGAGTTCCCCAAAATACCACATACACAAATAATTAGCCTCTCATGACTATATTTCGATAAGGAACGTTCGGTTATGTGTCTCAGTGAAGACCCTTAGGTCTCACGTCTCGGTATGGACCCTCCGTTCATAACTCAATATATATACACATAACAATATAGCTGAACGGTTTGTGTTGCATAAGTATATAGTTTTTCACAAAACACCAACAATGGAAGCTTTAAAATTTCTTATAGATTTCGAGTGTGACAACAAAACAAACCATCAAGGATCCTTTTAAAGAGGTTAGATAGATGTTACAACAACCATAGGATGTTTAGAAATAACAACCTTTGATGCCTTTGGACCCTCTTGGATTTGGGGTGTTGAAGTAGATGGCAAGAACAAGAAGCTTGATCTTCTCTATGAGTAATCTACCAACAAGAATAAGGTACTCAAAATGCTATTTTTCCTCTTGTATGACTTTGTTCCTTGAGCCTTAAGTGCTTAAACAATTAAGCACTAAAAGGAAGACACAAAGTGAGCACCAAAAGACAAGTAACAACTTCA